TATGGGCGGGGGTGTGGGGGTAGGGGTGGGGGTGTGGGGGGGGTTAGTAGTCTCGCTGGACACGTAGTTGGGTCTGGGTTTGTGTGTTTGTTTGTTTGTTTGTGTTTGTGTGTTTGTTTGTTTGTTCGTGTTTGTGGGTATGTGTGTTTGTGGGTATGTGTATGTGTGTGTGGATGTTTGTTTGTGTGTGTGTGTTCTGATTCTCCCTCTCTTGCTCTTTCTCTTATTTATTCTTGTTTTTCTTCTTTTTATTTCTCTCGATTATATATATTTTTTAACTAGTCTCTGTCTGTCTGTCTATCTGTTTGTCTGTCTCTTTCATACCCCCCCTCTCTCTCTCTCTCTCTTCTCTCTCTCTCTTCTCTCTCTCTTCTCTCTCTCTCTCTCTCTCTCTCTCTCTCTCTCTCTCCTCTCTCTCTCTCTCTCTCTCTCTCTCTCTCTCTCTCTCTCTCTCTCTCCTCTCTCTCTCTCTCTCTCTCTCTCTCTCTCTCTCTCCCCCCCCCCCCTCTCTCTCTCTCTCTCCCCCCCCCCCCTCTCTCTCTCATCATTGTTCTCCCCTCATAACTAATTGCGATTTTCTTCCAAACGCCATCAAACAGAAGCGGTTGTAATTCTGATTTTGTTATAACCGAGCATTTCTATTGCCATCATTTCCCTTAGCGTTATTATTCTCATTAACGTAATAACGTTTGTCTCCCCCCCCCCCCCCCTTTACGCTAGGGTTGAAGCTCGTGCAAACAACATTCACATTTTAGATGCAAATTTAATCCTTGCTTTCCCTCTGGTTCTCTCTCTTTTCATTTTTTTTTTCTTCTCTTCTCTCCCCTTTTTATTTATTTATTTATTTTTTTTTTAGGTTCTCCTCTCTTCCTGCTATTCATCTCACTTCTGATAGTTTTTTTTCTCTCTTTCTATTCTTTATTTCCTCTTCCCCTAATCTTATTTATTTCTGTTCTTTCGTTTTATCTTTTTTTCTTTTTTTTATTCACCTTTCCTCTGCTCCCTTTCTCTCTCTCTCTCTCCTCTCTCTCTCTCTCTCTCTCCTCTCTCTCTCTCTCTCTCTCTCTCTCTCTCTCTCTCTCTCTCTCTCTCTCTCCTTCTCTTTCTCCCTCCCTCTCCTCCGAACTCTTCTTCCTCTCTTCTCTTCTGTCCTTTCCACCCTCTTTCTTCTCCTTTTCTCATTCCGTCTCTTCGGCTTTCCTTTCCCATAAACACCTACCCCTTCCTCTTCCCCTTTTGATTCCCTCTTCTCCTCCCTTTTCTCCCTCTTTTCCTTCCTTCCTGTTCTTTCTTTCTTCTTTTGCCTCTTTTCTCTCCATCCCTCCCTCCCTCCATCTTTCCCCCCTTTTC